TAGTGAGTGCTACTATTGGAAGGTCGGTAGTTCTTGCGTAAGTCTGAGTCGTACTCAACAGATCCCAGCTACTAATATTTAGCAACCGCCCCACGGCACAAGATCGAATTTAATGTGGGACAATCTGAGCCCGTAGGCTCGGCTAAAATTTCCCCGTAAACCCCGCATAAACGGGTTCGGATAGTTGTTTCCCGAAACGAGACATTGTCCTTCAACATAGCCTCGTCTGGGGATCCTCTCTGCCCGGAGACAGAGTTCGACCAGCACAGCTGGTAAAGATCCCAGCTAGTCGATATTTACTAGCCTTCCCACGAGGTAGGATGTGACACAAGGCCGAGTTTATTGTGGGGTATTCCGAGCCCGTAGGCTCGGCCAAAAAATTTCCCGTAGACCCCGTATAAAACCGGGTCGGGTAGCTATTTCCCGCGACGAGACTCTGCCCTTCGACATAGCCTCGTCTGGGGATCCTCTCTGCCTAGAGGCAGAGAGTTTAACCAGCAGAGCCGGAAAAGATTCCAGCTAATACATTTACTAACCTACCCGCCACCACGCGATCAGAGGTGGCGCAATGCCGGGTTTAATGTGAGGCATCCGAGCCCGTAGGCTCAGCCAAAAATTTCCGTAGACCCCGTATAAAACGGGGTCGGGTAGCTGCTTCCTGAGACGAGACTCTGCCCTTCGGCATTGCTTCGTCTGGTGATCCTCTCTGCTTGGAGACAGAGAGTTCGACCAGCACAGCTGAAAAAGATTTCAGCTTGTGTATATAGCAAGTGACCTACGCAGTCACAAGTGGCACAAGGCCGAATTTAATGTGAGTTTCCCGAGCCCGTAGGCTCGGCCAAAATTCCCCTTAGACCCCGCATAAACGTGATCGGATCGGTCTACCTCCCCGAACGAGACTCTGCCCTTCGGCATAGACTCGTCCGTGTTCCTCTCTGCCCGGTCAGAGAGTTCGACCAGCACAGCTGAAAAAGAAAATAAGGAAATCATATATTCATATTATGACTTTTTATATAGAAATATCAAAAACTGCAATATTTTATATGTATTTTTACTTTTTTTATATAGAAATATGAAAAATACCAATGTTTTATATATATTATAACTATTTCATATAAACATTATATAGATATTATAAGATATTATATGTATCAAATGAAGTTGATTTTAATATTTCTCTATGAAATAAACTTGAAAATAATAATGCTTATTTTCTTGAAACTTGAAAATAATAATGCTTATTTTCCAAATTTCTATATAAAAAATTAAAAATCTGTTATAAATGTAGTTGTTTTTCATATCTCTACATAAAGTACAAAATATGCATAAAATGGGGTTGATTTCTAAATTTCAAAATATGCCTCGAATATTTCTCATTTTCATATTACTATATATAAATCAAAATATACGTCAAATGTAGCTGATATATACATATTACTATATAACGAATTCATAATACACATGAAATATAAATGATTTTAATATTTCTACATAAAAAGTCAGAATACATATAAAATATTGTTGTTTTTCATATTTCTAAAAAATAAATCAATATATGCATGAAATAATGCTGTTTTTCACTTTTCTATAATAAAAAGTCAAAACAAGAATAAGATATGTCTGATTTTATTATTTATACATAAAAAAAGACAAAATACGCATAAAATATAGCTTTTAATCATATTTCAGGATAAAAAAAGACACATATGCCTATTTAGGCTGTTTATATAGAAATATGAAAAAGAGAAATATTTTATTCAAATATAGAAATCTGGAAAACATATTTCATGTGTATTTTTACTTTTTTCTATAGAAATATGGAAATCAGCTAACTTTTATGCATATTTTCATTTGAAAAATAGAAATATTTTGTGTATATTTTGCCATTTTGTTCAGAAATATGAAAAACTGCTTCATTTTATTTACGTTTTGACTTATTTAACATATATTATAATATGAAAATAAACATTAATTATTGCATATGTTGTTTCTGATGTAGAAATATGAAGAACAGCTATATTTTATTCAGTTTTTGAATTTTTCATATACAAATTTTAGCGTTATTTCAGGCATGTTTAGGAATTTTAAAATCAGCTTCATTTTATACATATGTTTGCTTTTTTATGCATTAGTTGGAAAAGCAATTAGGCGAATTTCGTCTTTTTTATTCAGAAGATGATTTTTTTATTTTTGAAAAGCGATATTTTATGCGAAATTGACTTTTTTTATATATAAATATATATAAAATGGTGCTGATTTTCAATTTTTATATAGAAATAGGTTTTAAAATTGGGATATACACAAGGCCCTTAAATTTTTCCAATTTGAAACGTTAATGAAATTAGATTTGTTTAGAAATATATTTGATAATGCATTTTGTCATTTAAGTCTTCATCAGATCCAAAAACGTAAGGACAAAATGCATGTATGTAAATAATGAATAGTACTTTTTCCCTAAACTGTCATTTCACGTGAAATTAGTGACTTTTTAAAAAGTTGTTTACTTCAAGTCGAAAGTTGGTAATGTATTTTCCCAGCATTTGTATTGAATTAAAGGTAAATTCTCTTCTCATCAAAAGGACATAAAAGTAAAAAAATTATGTAGCCTTTTCTGAAAATGGATTCCATGTAAATCTTCATATAATCCTTCAAAATGGGTTGAAGTAAAAGATTTGTTTTTGTGTTTATCCATGCGTTTTTCGTGTCGACGTTTAAAATTAGGATACAGAAATCCGACAAGGTTTTTAAATTGTGATCATTGGAAACTCATGTTTTTTTCTTTAGTCACGAGATTTTAAGCACATTTCGCTTTTTTATATAGAAATAATAAAATCATCTATATTTTAAGCCTATTTTGAGTTTTAATATAGAATTGTGAAAAAATCTTATGCATATTTTGATCATTATATAAAAAATAAAAATATTTTATATTTTGAAATTATGTCTAGAAATATGAAAAAGAGAATGCTATGCTTATCTTGAATTTTTTATAGAAATGTGAAAATCTGCTATGTTTTTAGCATATTTTAATTATTTATATAGAAATATGAAAAACAGCATTGTTTTATTCAAATTTAAGCACTTATATATAGAAATATGAAAAGCAGGTATATTTTATACATGTTTTGTCTATCTATTTTATGTGTATTTTGAATTTTTACATATTAAAGTCAACTATGTTTTATGAATATTTTATTGCTTTAATATGGAAATGTGGAAAACAGAATTATTTTATGCATATTTATGCATTAAGAAATATAAAAATTATTATTATATTTAAATTTATTATTATATTTTTTCATGATTAATCTTCATTAAGAAATATCAAAAAGGTACATTTTAGGTTTTTTTCAATTAAAACATGTAGAAATTTTTATTTTTGGATTTAGTATTTTTCGTTTGGAAATAAAAACAAATATATTTACATCAGAAATAGAAAAAGATTCAAGCTTTTTCATTTTGTTAATGAAAACGAGTAAATCTGATCAAAATGTATGAAAATTTTGTATGAAAACATATAGATTTAGTCTTTTTCTCTAAGAAAAATCAAAATGTTATATTTTCTTAAAATTAGTATTTTTCATTAAGAAATATAAAGATACATTTCTCATCATTTCTTTTTCATTAATAAATATAAAAAAGTTAATTTTAATCCAGGCTAAGTCTTTTTTCTTTAGAAATATAATAAATGTTACATTTTTTTACAGATTTGGTTTTTTCATTAAGAAACATAAAAACACTTACATTTACTTCAGGTTTAGTTTTTCTTCATTAAGAAATGTCCCAAAAGGCACATTTTGTCAGATATAGTCTTTTTCATGTTCTTAATGAAAATGCCTAAATCTGTAAGAAAAAAAGGTACCTTTTTCTATGAAAAATATTACATTTTGTACAGATTTAGTCTTTTTCGTTAAAAATATCAAAATGATATATTTTGTTCATATTCAGTATTTTCATTTTCATAAATAACAAAAAAATTTTCGTCAGATAGTGTCTTTTTAATTAAGAAATATAAAAAAGTTACATTTAATTCAGATTGATTCTCTTTATTAAGAATTTTCATAAAATTTATTTTTTGCTTCGATTTATTCCTTTTCATTAAGAAGTATCTAAAATAAGATACATTTGGTTTAGATTTTGTTTGTTTCATTAAGAAATATAACCAGTTACATTTTCAACATATTTACTCTTTTTCATTAAAAATAGAAAAAAGTTGATGCTTTTCAGATTTAGTCTTTTTCATGTGGAAATATAAAAAGGTATATTTTTTAAGTTTAATATTTTTTTCATTAAAAAATGTCAAAAAGGTACATTGTGCACAGCTTTAGTCTTTTTCATTAAAAAATATACATTTTTTCAGATTTAGTATTTTTCATCAAGAAATAAGAAAAACAGATACATTTTCATCAGATAGTCTTTTTCATTAAGAAATATAAAAATGTTACATTTAATTCAGTTTCAATCTTAAAAAATATAATAAATGTTACATTTTGTACAGATATTTACTACAAGTTTAGTCTTTCTTCATTAAAAAATAACAAAAACAATATATTTCCGTCAGATAGATTCTTTTTCTTTAAGAAATATAAAAAGGTTATGTTTTGTCAGATTTCACCTGTTTCATTCAGAAAGATGAAAAAAAATTTACATTTTTATTAGATTTAAATTTCTTCTTGAAATAACAGCAACAGTTATATTTTCTTAGATTTAGTCTTATTCATTAAGAAATATAAAAAGTTTTTATTAGGTTTAATCTTTTTGTCACGTTTTCCTTAGGGACAATTTCACTGTACACCGTTTTTGTTTGTTTACCCTTTTACCTCTCGTCTCGCTGCGACCTCCTTTTTTTTGTTACTGTCTTTATTTTTTTTTTTTTTTATCTGTTCCTCTCTCTTTCCGTGTGTTTCTAGCATAAACTAGTCTTCCTTAGCATTAATTTCCTTCTTTTTTGATTACGCCTTACCGTTATCATCTACTCTCGGCAACGTGATAGCCACGAGATGTGTGTTTTCTTTTGGCGGGATCTTCAGAGTTCTTTTTGGTTCGGTACCTGCTTGCATGCACCCTTGCTCGCCGCTCCGCCTTTCTTGATAACTTTGGTATGTTTTATTCCATTCTTCTTTCTTTTCTTTTTTCTTTATTCGCCTTTGTATTGAAAATGTATTGTGGTAACACTACAAGTAGTTTTTTGCCTCCGTATTTCTGGATGCTCATTCAACAAGTTTGTGCTTTCGAGCCCTGAATTTTGATATTTAGAAAGAATGTAGGACCTTTCTATGTTTGACTTTGCTCTGTCGTTTAGACATACTCCTTTACCATGTCTACCATTGTTAATTGCCTCCTTCTGGCTCTCAACGCTTAGCTGCCTTTCCGAACTTGTTGCTGTCATATTTAACATAAATACGACACGTGCTTCGCTGGTCTTAGCCACCTTCGCCACTACCGTCTGCCTTGCGGCTGCTGGTAGTAAGTTAGCTTACTTCTTTCTTTCTTTCTTTGTTCTCTCTTGCTTCCTCCACTGTCTCTCGTCTCCCCTTTCCTCTTTGTCCCTTTCGTCGCAGCGGACTCATGTTTTATGTTCATTTTTTCTTTCAGATTTTTTACCTGATTCACAGAATAAAATCTTTCGTTTTCCAATGAAATTCGTCCGTGTTTTGTGAATTCGAGTTTACCCTGGCTGTCTAAAGCAGCGTGTTTTTTAGCATGTTGTCCAAGGCAGCACAGTAAAAAATCAAAGATTTATTCGCACGTGGCGCAAGGTCTTCCATAATGCAGTGTGACCAGCTTCCTCTCCCACGGCTCCTTGCGGATTTCTCTACTGGACTGCTGCCGGCGTAAAACTAATTTGACAGCTATTAGCCTTTTCAACGACCCGTGACGCTCCAGCACTCTTTGTCTACCCTTCTCTGCAACAGATCCCAGCACGCTTCAACAAACGCCATGGACCAAAAGTCCGTTGTCTCTAATAGAACGCGCTCCAGGTTCTCTTCTGCCTCATCTAAGGCCTTAGCTGTCCGTGCCGAACTGGAGATGGCTAAAGCAGGCCTGCTCTTCGTGGAGAGAGAGAATAAACTGCGCGAAGCAAAGGCTAAAATGGAGTCTGAAGAGAAAACTCTAGAGGCTCAAAGGGAGATAGCTCTCAAAGAAGCCGCACTAAAGGCCTTTGAAGAGTATGTCTCGCTTAGTGAAGAAAAATCCAGCATCCACCTTGACCAGACTCCTGCCGATCCCATGCAGCGTACGAGAGAATATGTGGCCGAACAGTCGGCTCAACTCAACTCACAACCTGCCGCCCCGCAATTGGTACAATCATCTGCCCTGCAACACACACGCTCTCCTGCATCTCAATTCGATCAGCCCACCAACTCAGAAGCCTCCTTCCGCTACTTCCCCGATCCATCTGAGGATCATCGGAGGAGGTGCTCAACTGAAAACCGCCATGACCATTCCAGTGACTTAATGCGTTACTTCGCCCGGCGTGAATTACTTCAAGCCAGTATGCTGAAATTCTCGGACAGACCTAAGGACTATCGAGCATGGAGACGTTCATTTCGCAACTCCATTGTCGACCTGCACTTGACACCGAGTGAAGAAATGGACTTGCTTGTGAAATGGCTCGGCCCTGCCTCCACTGAGCATGCCAACCGTTTAAGGACAGCCTACCTTAACCATCCTGAGAAGGGCCTGCAGGAAATATGGAAGCGTTTGGAAAAATGCTACGAGTCCCCTGAAGCCATCGAAGACTCACTCTTCGAAAGGATCCATAGGTTCCCAAAGGTAACCAAGGACTACGACAGACTGAGGGAGCTAAGCGACCTCCTCACCGAACTCCAAGCAGCTAAGGATGATGGTGATCTCCCCGGCCTTGCCCTCCTGGACACTGCTCGGGGTCTCAGGCCTATTGTGGAGAAGCTTCCGCCTACACTACGAGACCAATGGACCTCCCATGGCACGACATACAAGCGGAAACACCAAGTGCCATTCCCCCCATTCTCGGTGTTTACTAAGTTCATCGAACAACAAGCAGAAGACAGGAACGACCCCAGCTTTCGTCTTACCACAGATACTTGGCCCTCGCAAAACATGGACCGAACAACCACACCACAGCGGAAAGAAATTTCAGTCCACAAGACTCAGATTGCATCAAAAGATATCAAAGAGATATGCCCCATCCATAACCTGCCTCACCCTCTTCGTAGTTGCCGGGCATTTAGAAGCAAACCCTTTCCAGAGAGACAAGCCTATCTGAGACAACACAACATCTGTTTCCGATGTTGCGCTACCCATGTCAACAAGGACTGCAGGTTCAAGCCTAAATGCGCTGAGTGTGGCAGTGAAAGCCACAACACTGCTCTTCACCCTGGACCCGTACCACAAACGACACTCATCAGAGCCATGCCAAACCATGGCGGGGAGAACAACGATATTACAGCCCACTGCACACAGGTTTGTGGTAGCAACTTAATCGAAAAATCTTGTTCAAAAATTTGCCTGGTGGAGGTGCATCCACAAGGCCAGAGAAACAAGGCAGTCAGGATGTATGCCGTGATCGACGAACATAGCAACAAGTCACTTGCTCGTCCGGAGTTCTTCGAGTTGTTCAGTGACCACGGCCCCACATCTTCTTATTCACTTAGGACTTGCGCTGGAGTCATAGAAATGGTTGGGAGAAGAGCCTATGGATACAGAATTGAATCCATAGATGGACACACCAGCCTGCCCCTTCCAACATTAATCGAGTGCGCTGATGTGCCAGATAATCGCGCAGAAATCCCAACACCAGAAGCAGCCCTTCATCACAAACACTTGGCTAGAATAGCAGCGGAGATGCCTAACTTGGACCAGCGGGCCCCTATTTTGCTACTCCTGGGTCGTGACATTATCGAAGTACACAGATCAATGGTCCTCACAGCGCCCCTTATGCTCAGAAACTAGACATGGGCTGGGTGATAGTGGGGAACGTATGCCTCGGGGGGACGCATAAACCGTCCACTGTTGACACCTTCTTCACCAGCACCCGAGAAGGAAGCCGCCCAACAAACTTTGAGCCTTGTCCCAACACATTCCGAGCCAAGGAAAGATACTGCCGGAAAGGATTGGGCAGCTCCGTCTTTCAACCAACCAAGGAGGACGACCGACTGGCCTACTCCATAGAGGACAGAATCTTCCTTGATATCATGGAAAAAGGCGTGAAGAAGAATAGTCACCGCAGCTGGGTAGCACCTCTTCCATTCAAACCATCCAGACTGCGACTCCCTAATAACCGACAACAAGCAGTCAGTCGGCTCAACTCGCTAACTCGCCAATTCAGGAAGAAACCGTATTTGGCACAGGACTTCTTCTCCTTCATGAAAAAAATCTTCACTAACGCCCGGGCAGAAGTGGCCCCTCCACTCAAACAGGAAGAAGAGAGATGGTACTTGCCTATGTTCGGCATTTACCATCCAAAGAAACCGAACAAAATCAGAGTCGTCTTTGACTCCAGTGCCCAATATAATGGAGTGTCGTTAAACGACGCCCTATTAACCGGGCCCGATCTAAACAACAATTTAATAGGAGTCCTGATCCGTTTCCGAAGGGAGCCCGTAGCAATCATGGCCGACGTCGAACAAATGTTTTACTGCTTTCTCGTTAAAAGAGAGCACAGGGACTTTCTGCGGTTCCTATGGTATAGAGACAATGACCCTGATAAGGAAATAGTTGAATACAGGATGAAAGTCCACGTATTCGGCAACAGTCCTTCACCGGCAGTGGCAACTTACTGCCTAAGGAAATCTGTCGAAGAAACACACCCGGAGTCTAGCCCCGCTGTTGTTCAGTATGTCCACCGTGACTTTTATGTGGACGATGGACTAAAGTCAGTGCCTACTGTAGGAGAGGCCATCTCCTTGCTGAAGGAAACCCAAAATGTTCTGGCAGCATCTAATTTGAGACTACATAAAATAGCCTCCAATAAAAAGGAGGTTCTGGACGCTTTCCCTACAGAAGACCTCGCCAGCGACATCAAGGATCTGGACCTCAATGAAGAGGCTGTACCGATGCAACGTAGCTTGGGACTTGATTGGGACCCAGAGAGTGACTGCTTCACCTTCAGAGTTGCAGATGAAAAGAAGCCTTACACACGCAGGGGTGTCTTGTCAACTATCAACAGCCTCTATGACCCCCTTGGGTTCGTGGCTCCAGTTACCATCCAAGGCAAGTCCATTTTACGGGAACTCACATCCGATAAGGTCGATTGGGATACCCCTTTACCCCCTCAGAAGGAACAACTTTGGACTGCATGGCGCGATTCCCTTCGAGAACTCCACGACCTCCAGATACCAAGGGCTTACACCACCAAATCGCCCACTACATCATCCTCCAGGCAGTTGTGTGTCTTCTCGGACGCGTCGACTAAGGCAATTGCTGCTGTAGCCTGCCTCAGACTCACCTATCTCGATGGTACTTGTGAGGTGGGTTTCATCATGGGAAAAACGAAATTGGCACCACAACCTGAGACCTCTGTGCCCAGACTGGAACTCTGTGCTGCCGTCTTGGCAGTTGAATTGGCAGATATGATTCTCTTGGAGCTCGACATGCAAGTGAACTCTACCATTTTTTTTACTGATAGCAAGGTTGTTCTTGGCTATATAAGCAATGAACATCGCCGCTTTTACGTTTATGTCAGCAATCGAGTTCTGCGCATCCGTAGATCATCTCAGCCTGAACAGTGGCATTACGTACCCACAGATAAAAACCCAGCTGACTGTGGAACCAGGTCTGTTCCTGCCACCCAAATGACTACTACAGCCTGGCTCAACAGTCCCTCCTTCCTCTCTAACCCCTTGTTCAACCGTTTTGAATCCAATTCCCACGGCCTTATCAATCCTGAAAACGACGTTGAAATCCGTCCAGTAGTGACAACCTTCACCACCCACTCATCCCCCGTGCTGCTTGATGCTCATCGCTTCAGGAAGTTCTCCACATGGACAGCACTTACACGAGCTATTGCTCGCTTGATCCACATTTCTCAGTCATTTAAGAAAGAGACTAGACCGAAGGACTGCAAGGGCTGGCATTACTGTCGAGCACCATTTCCAGTAGAAACACTGGTGCAATCTAACAACTTGATCCTCCGGTCGGCGCAAAAGGACACATACGCTTTGGAGCTCTCTTGCTTATTACAGCATAAGGAACTTCCCAAGAGCAGTGCTCTCAGGAAATTAGATCCCTTCGTAGACGACCAAGGCCTCCTCAGAATCGGAGGTCGCACACGAAGAGCAGGACTAGACCATAGCGAGATGCACCCTGTTATCTTGTCTGGCAAGCACCATATAACGTCCCTGCTCGTTAGGCACCACCACAAGCAGGTACATCACCAGGGACGTCACTTCACAGAGGGCGCAGTCCGTGCTGCTGGCTTCTGGATTGTTGGTGGAAAGAGAAGTATCAGCAAAACCATCCACTATTGCGTAATTTGCAGAAAGCTCCGAGGACCTATGCAGATCCAAAAGATGGCAGACCTACCAGAAGACCGCCTATCCATGGAACCTCCCTTCACAAATGTGGGGCTTGATGTTTTTGGGCCTTGGCCCATTACTTCATGTCGAACTAGAGGGGGCTTGGCCCACAGCAAGCGGTGGGCCACAATATTCACATGCATGACCACAAGAGCTGTTCACATCGAGGTCTTGGAGTCACTCTACACATCAAGCCTGATAAATGCTCTCAGGCGCTTCTTTTCTATCCGGGGTCCCGCAAGACTTATCCGTTCGGACCAAGGCTCCAATTTTGTCGGAGCAAGAAACGAACTCGGAATCAATTCCACCCTAGACACAAGTGCTGTGGGTAAACACCTCTCTGAATACGGTTGTACCTGGTTATTCAACCCTCCGCATGCACCACACATGGGTGGAGCGTGGGAAAGAATGATAGGTATTGCCAAGAGGATTCTCAATTCCATGTTAATGCAACATGGAAGCACCAAACTAACCCATGAAGTGCTCACCACCTTCCTGGCTGAGGTGGCTGCCATTGTTAATAGCAGACCACTTGTCCCGGTATCCACAGACCCAGAAGACCCAGTTCTGCTGACACCTTCAACACTCCTCACCCAAAAGATCGGCTCTGCTCCTGCACCGACAGGTGACTTCACTATAAAAAATGTTTCCAGACAGCAATGGAGGCATGTTCAACATCTTGCTCAGACGTTTTGGAGCCGGTGGAGGGGCCAGTACCTCCCTCTTTTGCAGGCCCGAAGCAAATGGACTTCCAGCGTTCCAAACCTGAAACCTGGCAGTGTGGTCCTTTTGAAAGACCAGGATTCAAAGAGAAACGAATGGCCCTTGGGACTGATTACCCGTGTCATTCCTAGCCAAGATGGAAGGGTGCGACAGGTCGAAGTGAAAATTTACAAGAATGACCGTGCAAAATTGTTCCTGAGACCTGTAACAGAGACTGTGCTTCTCCTCCCCCCTCCTCCGTCTGAACCTATCTGTTAAAATGGACTTTCTTCCCCCTCTTTGATCCCCTCCGTATACCACCTCCCTTGTCTCTTTGCTCTCCCCTCTCCATGCTTTAATTTTTTCACAGGACTGTTACTACTTCTTTTCTCCTTCCTTTCCCTGCCCTTCAAACTTACAAATGTAAAACAAACTTGAACTAGAAACCTTCACACGAACTTTTTGAGATCTCAGGCGGGGAGTGTCACGTTTTTAACGTCAACCTTCTGTCCTTAGGGACAATTTCACTGTACACCGTTTTTGTTTGTTTACCCTTTTACCTCTCGTCTCGCTGCGACCTCCTTTTTTTTGTTACTGTCTTTATTTTTTTTTTTTATCTGTTTCTCTCTTTTTCCGTGTTTTCTAGAATAAACTAGTCTTCCTTAGCATTAATTTCCTTCTTTTTTGATTACGCCTTACCGTTATCATCTACTCTCGGCAACGTGATAGCCACGAGATGTGTGTTTTCTTTTGGCGGGATCTTCAGAGTTCTTTTTGGTTCGGTACCTGCTTGCATGCACCCTTGCTCGCCGCTCCGCCTTTCTTGATAACTTTGGTATGTTTTATTCCATTCTTCTTTTTTTTTTTTTCTTTATTCGCCTTTGTATTGAAAATGTATTGTGGTAACACTACAAGTAGTTTTTGCCTCCGTATTACTGGATGCTCATTCAACAAGTTTGTGCTTTCGAGCCCTGAATTTTGATATTTAGAAAGAATGTAGGACCTTTCTATGTTTGACTTTGCTCTGTCGTTTAGACATACTCCTTTACCATGTCTACCATTAATTGCCTCCTTCTGGCTCTCAACGCTTAGCTGCCTTTCCGAACTTGTTGCTGTCATATTTAACATAAATACGACACGTGCTTCGCTGGTCTTAGCCACCTTCGCCACTACCGTTTGCCTTGCGGCTGCTGGTAGTAAGTTAGCTTACTTCTTTCTTTCTTTCTTTCTTTCTTTGTTCTCTCTTGCTTCCTCCACTGTCTCTCGTCTCCGCTTTCCTCTTTGTCCCTTTCGTCGCAGCGGACTCATGTTTTATGTTCATTTTTTCTTTCAGATTTTTTACCTGATTCACAGAATAAAATCTTTCGTTTTCCAATGAAATTCGTCCGTGTTTTGTGAATTCGAGTTTACCCTGGCTGTCTAAAGCAGCGTGTTTTTTAGCATGTTGTCCAATGCAGCACACTTTTCATTACGAAATTTCCAAAAATTTACATTTTTTACACATGTAGTCTTTCATTAAGATGTATAAAAACAATTACATTTTGTAAGAAATATAGTAAATGTGACATTTCATGCAGATTTAGTCAGTTTCATTCGTAAATAAAGTTACATTTTCTTTATATTTTCTCTTCATCATTAGGAAATATCAAAAAGTTATATTTTTCAGGTTTAATCTTTTTCCATTCAAATGTCAAAAAATGTACAGTTTATACAGATTTAGTCCTTTTCATTAAGAAATATCAACAAAAGTAATCTTTTTTTTCAGATTTAGTCTTTTTCATTAAGAAATAGAAAAACTGGATACATTTTATTCATTAAGAAATGTCAAAAAATATATTTTGTACAGATTTAGTCTTTTTCATTATGAAGTATCAAAAAGTTACATGCTGTATAATCATTTTCATTCAGAAGTAAAAAGAAACATTTTCGTTAGATAACAAATGTTATATTTTCTTCAGATTTAGTCATTTTCACATTTTATTTTTTAAAATAATCCTTTTTCTTGATATTTCTTAGAAATATCAAGAAAAGTATTATTTTCAGGTTTAATTTTTTTTCATGAAGAAATTTGAAAAATGTGCATTTTGTACATATTTAGTGTTTTTCATCAAATAAATTATATTTTGTTAAGATTTAGTATTATTCATTAAGAAATAAAAAAAGCAAATACATTTTCATCAGAGAGTCATTTTCATTAAGAAAAAGTACATTTACTTCTCGTTTAGTCTTTTTTTTTAATATTTTATTCAGATTTAATATTTTTCATTAAAAAATCAACAAACATTACTTTTCTTCTACTATATTTTGTACAGATATAGTCTCTTTCATCAAGAAATATCAAAAATGTTATATTTTATTCAAATTTAGTATTTTTTGCATTCAGAAATATTTTCATAAGATAAAGTCTTCGTTATTAAGAAAAAATACATTTACTTATTTATTTATTTATTTAAAAAATATAATAAATATTACATTTTATATAGATTTACTATTTTCCATTAAGAATTATTTAAAATATTAAATCTGGTACAGATTTATTCACTTTCATCCAGAAATATAAAAAATTATCTTTTCATCAGATGTAGTCTTTTTCATTAAAAAATATCAAGAAAAATTATATTTTTTTCAGGTACATTTTGTACAGATACTGTCTTTTTCATTAAGAATTATCAAAAATGTTATATTTGTTCAGATTACGTAATTTCCATTAAGAAATTGAAAAACCACTTACATTTTCATCAGATGGGGATTAAGAGAAAACATTATAGATTTACTTCCGGTTTAGCCTTTTTTTATGAAGAAAAAATAGTAAATGTTACATTCTGTACTGATTTAGTCTTTTTCATTAAGAATTATGTAAAATTGGGACAGATTTTGTCTGTTTCAATCAGAAATGTGAAAAAGTTACATTTTTATCAGATTTAGCCTTTTTCATTAGGAAATATCAACAAGTTAAATTTTCAGGTTTTCATGAAGTAATTTTAAAAAGTTTCATTTTGTACAAATTTAGTGGTTATAAAGTATAATTTAATGATTATAAAGTATCAAAACTTTTACATTGTTATACAGATATAGACTTTTTTATTAAAAATATCAAAAAATTTATATTTCTTCAGATTTATTATTTTACATTAAGAAATACAAAACATTTACATTTTCATCAGATTCTTTCATTAAGATATATAAACAATTTACATTTACTCCAGCTTTAGTCTTTTTTTTATTTTTTTTAGATATAATAAATGTTATATTTGGTACAGATTTATTATGTTTCATCCAGAAATATAAAAATAAGTTAGATTTTCATCAGATTTAGTTATTTTCATTTAAAAATCTCAAAAAAATTATATTTTTAAGGTTTAATCTTTTTTCATTAAGAAATGTCAAAAAAAAGTACAGTTTGTACAGATTTAATCTTTTTCATTAAGTAGTATAAAAAATGTTACGTTTTTAAATATATTGTCTTTTCATTCATAAATATAAAAAAGTTATATTTTGTTCAGATTTGGTATTTTTTTTTCAGTAAGAAACAAAGCAGATACATTTTCATCAGTTAGAGTATTTTTATTAATAAATATAAAAATGTTATATTTAGTACTGGTTTTACAGATTGAATCTTTTTTCATTAAGAAATATAAAAGTTACATTTTGAACAGATTTATACTTTTTCATTAAGAAATATAAAAACATTTTTATTAGATACAGTTTTTTTTACATATTAAAAAAGATATATTTACTTCAGGTTTTGTCTTGTTTCATTGAGAAATATAATAATATATAATATTTTGTACAAATTTAAATTTATCATTAAGAAATATCTAAAAAAAAGTTACATTTGGAATAGTCTGTTGCATTACGAAATATAAAAAACAAGTTAATTTTCACCAGATTTAGTCTTTTTCAGTAAGTAATATGAAATATAGCTATATGTTGTCCAGGTTTCATCTTTAATCATTAAGAAATTTCAAAAAACGTACATTTTTTACAGATTTAGTCTTTAGTATCAAAAATACTGATTAACGAATAACCTGAGAACAAGATATCATTTTAAGTGCAGGCAAGGCACGGCCATGTGGTAATTATAAAAAGTTTTCGCATGAGAAAATATTCCTAAATATTGTCGATACGGGATAAAGAGAAGCCAAGTGTTCCCGTAGACGCTAACTTCATGAAGGGACTTTGACAATTGATTGTTTGTAAAAAAGTGCTGGTTAAGAAGACGCAAAGTGACCAACAGATTTGAGAGATTTTAAGTAGCCATATGGTATTCGTAAGAATTTTGGCCGCCGGGAACGAGAATTTTGTAAACAAAAATTCTAGGTTATAATTTTAATGAGACCAGCTTAGCCACGCCCGCACGACCGGGACGCCATTGGTCGAGTGGTAGCAATGGTGATAGGCGGAGGTAATTTGATGGAAAAACGAGAAAATTATTAATGCCCGCTGAAAGGATTTGGTATAAGGTATCAGTGGGAGAAAGGAGGAGTTTAGGAGGATAGTTCTCCTGCAGCCTCTCCTCACGAACGAAGGGATCCCTCCAAAATGGCCAGTAATAAATGGGAAGTCATCAATTTTCCTGGCCAGACAACAAAGAGGTTTTTTGTCAGAAATCGGGAATTACCGAAAACCCTAGACTGCGTCTAACCCCGCACCGGTTTTTATCGGTGTCCTCAGAGAAGTTCGTCAGTTGGAGTCAGAAGTTCAGCTGCAGTTCGAGTAGCAGGAAACAGAATGTTTCCTCGCAGAAGCTGACCGAGAGATTCCACGACCTCCGACTTCGCCCATCGCCTATCCTACAAATAGACGAACGAAGCTAATCCAGCACATAAAAACTAAACCAGTTGACTTAGAAGACCAGAACTGGCCTCAGAAGCGTAAAAGTGTCACACTCCATAGAAAACGGGTTGGGAGAAAAACACACACTCCTGTATATAACAGACGGATAAACGTTAATTTGTTACTTTCAATATACTTGAACCTCTTGGGATTTTATTTGTTTCTTTTATTTACGCTTGTGCGATATCACCTCCAGTTAGACTCATCTATGATCTTGTCTACCCTAAGATCAAAATCACAACGTAGGTAGGTTAAACTTGAGATCGAAGCAGTTACTTCGGTAACTTCCAACAAGTGAGCTGGGAACGACGGAGCTGGTGTCAAACTGTTTGCAGCTGGTGTGAAGCCGTTAGCATCGACCGACCACCCCACTTGTTAGCCTGACCAAAGGATTCTGCCATTTACGAATAGGTCGGTTTACTGTGACATAAGCACGGCTAACTCGCGCCCGTATATAACACTGTCTATGCGCCGTTTTATTTTAAACTACTTCCACTCACAAGCACACCCAGGAGGCGTTGAGGACCATTTCAGGCAGATTTACCTGGCCTGGTATGGCTACTGACATCAAACAGTGGTCCCGCACGTGTTTACGTTGCGAGGGAACGAAGGTTGGTATACACACCAGAGTACCAGCGTCAACTTTCCCTAACCCAGACGGACGTTTCACTCACAAGTGGATTTAGTTGGTCCATTAGAACGCGTAGACGGCTTCGAGTACATCCTAACGACCGTTTCACGCGATGACCAGTCGCTATACCGCTTGCATCTATAACAGCTGAGTCAGTCGCTAATGCCATTTTTACGCATTAGATTTCTATCTTCGGTTGCCCTTCGGTGATTACCACCGATAGGGGTCCGCAATTCCAATCAACCCTCTTCAGCGAATTTACCAATCTCCTGGGAATTAAACACATTTCCACCACCGTATATCATCCTTGTGTTAACGGTTTGGTGGAAAGATTCCACCGACAGCTGAAGTATGCTTTGACAGAATCGAAAAAACGCTGCACATGGGTGGAAAAGTTACCTTTAATTATGTTAGCACTGCGCAACACGGTTAAAGAGGATTTGAAATGCACTAGTGCTGAATTAGTTTTTGGAGCTCCTTTGGCCTTGCCCGGACAAATTTTCAGCCCAGTATCCGAAAACTTTCCTTCTAACCATTTCGTCGCAGATCTTCGGCAAAAGATGTATGACGTCATTTACACACCAACTCGGGCTTATCACAAACCGTACTATGTCCCTGCTGATTTGGACAAAACTGATTTTATCTTCCTTCGTCGAGATTCAGTCCGGAAACCTTTAACTCCGAATTATACTGGACTAAGTAATCTCAAGAACACCAAAATACTTCATCATCAGTCTAGCAGGAAAACGTACAACTGTCAGCATCGATCGTTTGAAACCAGCCTACATTAGTACCGACAACACAACTTCGAGTACGTCACAAACAATTCCTGATTCTGAACCATCTTGTCTTCAACACCTGAATCAGTAGCTAGTACACCTACTCGAACCAGATCGGGTAGACATATACAC